CCTCCCCCACCCCATCCTCTCTCGCTCGCCCTCTTCCAGCCGGCCCCTCGCATGTCTTTGTGCTCCATTTCCTGGTCCCTCCCTTTCCCTCAATTGCTCACTCTCAGACATCTCCAGACGCCCTCTTGCTCTGCCACTTACCAGTTTGCAGTCTTCCTGAAAGAAGATTGGGTTTCCTCTGACTTTCGTCCTCCAAGTATCCGAGGCAGGGCTGGAATGTTGCCAAACCTTCTCAGCGGCCCTGACCCAGGGTATTTCTCAGAGCAGAGACTCAGGTGTGAACCGCCCCCCCCAACCAGGGCGGGCAAGGGTTGCCTGCCTTGTGTGGTCCCTAATGGCTACAGAGATTTGAATTTGCCTGCTTTTCTCTGTGATTTTAATGGAGAAGGTGCCTTGTGAAAGAAACAAATTGGATATTGGATTTCACAGATCCTTCTGCTCTGCCCTTCTGACCCTGATAAGCCACTGAAATTCTCGATGTCCTTGAGTTTTTGTAATACTCGCCTATAAAGTGAACTGCCCTGGGGAGGCAGCTCGGCTTCTGGACTTGTTTTCACACGCCAGGGAGGGCGGGGGTGTCTGTGGATCAACAGTAGAGGGAGAGCTTTGACAGGAAGCACTTTAATTTTCTCCCTTCAGCAGCAGGTGCTGTGGAAAACACTGGGGGCACCGGCAGCAAAAATTACTAATTTTTTTAATTACTAAAATTACTAATATAAATGAGTGTATTTAAGTATGTATTTTACATATATTTATAATGTATATTGACTGCATGCAATAGCAGCCTTCTAGTACAATGGACCGAGGCCTGAAGGGCCTGAAGCCCTAAGGGGAAACTTCTTTATTGGAGGAATAGCAATAAACTTGACTCACCCGACACCATTATATGGAAGTAGATTTCATTACTGAAGAATTGCAGACAAAAGAATCGAACTTATCACCCGTGCACACCCCTCCCCTCCAGTCAGTGGGTGGGCATGGTCACGTGGAATATTACGCAGCAGTTGAAACGAACAGACCACAGCTCACCCAGCCAGGTGCACGAATCTCTCCAACATCATGTTAAGCGGTGGAAACCGGATACAGAAGAGAAGAGTGCGCCCTGTGGGATCCCATCAATACGAAGTTCAAAACCTGGCAAAACTAATCGATGGTGCCAGAAGCAGAGGGCTGCCTGGGCTCCAAAAATGTTGTGATATTTTTATTCCAATGCTGAGCACGCCAGCGTGTTCACTTTTTGAAAAGTCATTAGGCTGTACATTCATGATGGTTGCTGTTTTCTCTTTGTACACTTCAATTTTTTAAAAAATTAACTCATCAAAATCAGTCATCAAGGTTGCTTGTAAGCACTTCCCCCCCAGCTCAGCAGTGTGCCCGGGATGACGGGGAATTACAGAGAAGAGTGAGATGCTGTCTGTGACCTCAGGAACCTTCTGGAAATTTAGTTCCGTCTGGTGTCCCCGGCTCCCCCCCTAGCCCTTTGGGTTTGTCATTCACCAGAAAGAATTTGCTCAGCCCACCTCAAGCCTGTGGCTCTGGACACAGATGACTCACCCCATACACTTCAGAGCATCCCGAGGTCACCGCAAAGATCACTTCCTAATCGTAGCATTTCTTTGACGAAGGAAGCGGTCTAGGTAAAGGGAGCCAAGGCTGCGCTGTTCTGCTGAGTGGAGATTTGTCTTGCAAAGAAAAAGCTCTTCCGTAATGCTTAAAATCAGTTGGATCAGATCCTTCTATCTGGTGGTTTCATCGAGGTGTACTGATACGTTCATTTTAAGAAAAGCTATCACCTGCAGCTGCTTCCCTGCTCTCTCTTTATGGTGCTGCCCGGGCAGGGAAGGGGGTCTCCAATATGTTCTCTTTGCCTTTTTTTTCTAGTTTTTATTTTCACTTCTCTTTTCATTATCCCTTCAGGCTTTACTGGCCCTTCAAAGGGCCCCTGCTTCATGAACTAATGATGACAGATGTTGATACAACATCTGTTGCCGGATTTAAACACCTTCCATCCGGTTAGAATTCATCTGGAAGGCAAGCTTGTCCTGCACTTTAGTCTGCACTTGAGCGCGGCCGTGGGGACACGGGCTGCACAGGAGCTGCTTGAGATGACGATTCTGCTCCAGCTTCTCACCACGAAGGGGTGTAGCTCACACACAGTGGTGAGCTCGCTCCCCGTCCTTGTGCCAGATCATCTCTCTCTCCATCTTGCACAGTTAACTGCACACATGCATTTCATCGTGAGCGTTGGCTGGTCGGGTTTGGTCGATATTTCCTAGTAACTGTGTTTTGCTGGACCTCGGGTCCTTCCAGGTCAATGTTCTCAGCTTTCCTCCCCCACAGAAAAGTCAAGGCAGGTTCCCTTTTGCTTCTCTGATGCAAATAAGTACTGGAGCGAGGTCTTCATTTTCTAGCAATTGGTTTTGGCACCTTCTTACCTCTACCTGATCTCTCTTTCAAGAGCCCTTCTTGAGCAATTACCATGAGACCAGGAAGTTAGGAATATTGAACAAAGGAAAAAGAGTCTGAGTTAAAAACCCTTGTTTTCAAGTCTTCTCTCTTGGTTACTAGCCTTGCTCCCCGGATAATGGGTGTTACAGTAATAAAATAATAATAAAAATAAAATAATAATAATAAAAAATAATAAAAAGGTAATTCTAGGCAGAGTATGAAGATAACTTATGAAGAGTATGAAGGTATTTTATCTTATGAAGATAAGGTAAAATTAGGTGACTTAGGAAACTTTTGGGTGTGGTACAAATGTTTGTCACCTTGCTTTGGTGAAGGTTTCACAGGCATCTACGTGTGTCAACACTCCTCAGTTGATGAGTACATTTGAAGGATATGCAGTTATTGGGCATCAGTTATACATCCATAAAGCATAAAAAATTAGAAGTTTGAAGATTTTTAGAATCTGTAACTTGCTATACAAATGTTAATTATTAGTAATCCTTGTTACTGTTTTTAAGAAAGTAGCTAACATTTTCCTTAAGCAGAATGTCTTCTTTCAGAGGTAAATTTGAGCTTGGCAGTTCGTTCAGGGAGCTGAATTCGACTTCCCCCAGGCCGAGGTTTCTCATCTGTGGCACTGATGACATTTGGAACCAAATAATTCTTTGCACAGAGGCTGTACAGGGCATTGTAGGATGTTAGCTGCATCCCTGGCCTGTACCCGCTAGGTACACCGCCCCCCCTGTGGCAATCAGAAATGTCTATGGGGCAGATCACCCTGGCTTGGAGACCACTGTTCTAGGCCATGTTGCATAGACAACTTTTTTGTTACTCAGAGTCCCTAATTCCTATGTTTAATTTCTGAGCTTGTGACAGGATTTATACTTTTTAAACCGAGACAGTAATAAAGATTCAGGCCTAAAACTGCTCCCATCCGTATTTTCTGTTATAGAAAACGTTTGCCTGACCTGAAATATGTGAACTATTTTTGTGTCCCCTTTTCCTTTAACACATCCTGCTGGCACCCATGTCTGATTTCAGCCCCAGCATCTTGGGTCCTGGTCTCAGACGTGCTTTGCATGTTTGGTGCCAGAAGAGGCGGCCGATGCTGTGACAGACGTGTGCAGGGGGGAGGGGCGAACATGGGGTTCAGAGCAATTAATCTTAGCAACAGCTTCCTTTTACTGGTGATCATAGGATTTGTAAAGGGGTCTGTAAATATCAGTGCTTGCTACGGACCCTCTCGTCCCCAGTATTGCTTTTCCTTTGGTTTCCGAGAAGGATCCAAAGCAGAGAAAGCCTGTGCCCTTTAAAAGTGCTCGTTTAGCATCGTGCAGACCGCTAGCCTTTTTGTTCTCCTCTTAGTTGCCTTTTAATGAGCGATTTGGGCGGGGGGGGGGGGTGAGGTTTTTCTACATGAACACC